AAAAAAAAAAAAAAAAAAAAAGCTATTAGCTGAGTAGTGAATTAATAATGGCGGTTATGAGTTGTAAAGCAGAGAGTAGCCACATGGGGGGGGGAGAGGGGGAGAGGGGAATGCTTTTTCAAAGTGAATTTCAAATTTAAGGTTAAAATAGCTGAATTGGAAAATTTCTATAAATTGCTTTCTGATCAGTTATTCTGCCCTTAAATTTGAAATTCACATTTTGAATTATAATTTTAGTATATAACCCTGACAGCGTTGCTCTCAAATGAGTTATTCTTTAAAGTGAAAACTGAGAATTCGAAATAAAATGACGAATTTAAGAGTCAAAAAAAAAATCTCAAATGGGAAAGATTCTCTATATCACCCACGCCTCCAGTCTGGCTATTATAATATTAAAAGTTTTAACTCACTTTATATTGCTGACATCCCTCGCTTTAGTGAATTATCCAGCAAATTTTGCATTGACCCCACTTTCCATTTGCTGCTTTAAGACCTCTGTGGCTATTTACGTTATCGACTAAGTTTATTCACTAAACTGCAAATACATTGAAATTATTTGAATTTCCAGATTGAAACTATGCGTTGCATTTGGATTTAGGTTGGCTAAAATTAAAAGTTTTGTGAATTAACCCCACAATCTTTCATCTTAATATACATTTTTTTAAAGTTGGACTGAAGCTTTGCCTGATTTGTAATATATTTACTTTTACCCTATTTTTAAAGGGACACTATAGTCACCCAGACCACTTCAGCTCAATGAAGTGGTCTGGGTGCCAGGTCCTTCCAGGGTTAACCCTGCCTGCTGTAAACATATCCGTTTCGGAGAAACGGTTATGTTTACATTTGGGGTTAAGCCAGCCTCTAGTGGCTGTCTTCCGGACAGCCACTAGAGGCGCATCTGCGACACTGGAGGCATATTATGGCTCCATCGCGCAGAGCGTCCATAGGAAAGCATTGAGAAATGGACACTTTGAATGCGTGAGCAGCATTGCCGCGCATGCGCATTCCGCTCCGCTGATGTTCAGCACCACGGGAGAGGAACCCGGAGGGTGGGGGCACCCTCAGGGTACTATAGTGTCAGGAAAACCGATTTGTTTTCCTGACACTATAGTGATCCTTTAACTAATATGGATTTTGGAACTGTGAAAAATAAAATGTAGATATCTCAAAGTATATGCCATTACTCTAATCCACATTGTTTTACCCCATCTACGCGGTTTCATGCTTCTCTGACAATGTTAATGTCTGCCTACCCAATATGCCTTGATGACACTGTCTTACCAGATAATTTATCTCCTGATGCCCATAGCAATTTGTAACGTGCCTCCTGAACCTAACTGCATAGTTTAAGCTACCGCATTATTCTTATTATTTAAAGGAGCTCTACGTTAACATTTTGTGTTACTCACCATTATTTTATGCCTAGAGGGAATTTTCAGATGTAACTAAATGGTTAAAGCTTGTTTAAACATTAATATAAAAAATGTGCATGTTCCTCAAATGTCACCTCCAGTTTTAAACATATAGTATTGAAGCTTGTTTATGGTGCCGTGACCTATAGAACGCTTGTATGTAATTTTCATAAATGCACAACCAAAATAAAGAATAAAAAAATAAAAAAAATGTAGATATCTACAAATCTTTATTCTTGTGAGCTCTGTCTTTTGCACAAGGAGAAATCAAACAATCACATCACTATTTACCAAAGTGAGATTTGTCACAAGTCAAAGTAAATGTAAAAAATTAGGGACAGAAGTCAGAACTGGAAACGTTCTCCAACTTAGCTTTTTTTCAGTTCAGCAATATCTCCTTAATATGTGACATTCAGTTTGAATTCTCTCTTCAGTGTATGTCAGTATTAGTCAGTAAACTAAATTTTTGGTGAGTTATATCCAAATGGAAAAACTGAGGCTAAAAAAAAGCCAAGCGATTGTCTTTATTTTTATTTATGCCATTTGGGTTGCATTTGAAATTAAATGTAATGATTATATTTTTCCTTATTTGTAATGTGTTGGCTGTGCATAGACTGATCTGGATTGTGACAAAGTTTGCTAAATTTTAATTATATAATATATATATATATACACAGACACACACACACACACACACACATACATGTTAAAGGAAAACAGAGCATTGCATAAAAAATAGCACAACGTATAGGTGATTTTCAATATTTTATTCAATGGTGTACTTACTAGAAAGGTAATTTGCAAAGAGGTGTTTCTGTGAGAGCTTGTGACAAAAGGTTTGCATAATAAGGGACAGGTAGGGTTCTAGAAGGCCATCTTTTGTCAAACTTGCCATTTGGTATCCCATATC